ACCGTCTGGCATACTGGAGCAGGAATCGACTGGAGGACAGAAGTTGTCATGTATTTGCAAGACCCATGAGCAAATGTACCAATTGGAATTCGATTGAAAGCTTTGCGATTTCAATTGGTAGAAGGAGTGTTATATAAAAGGACATTCGAATGATTACTTTTGAAATGTTTGGGCCCTGAGCAGGCTTTGGAGGTGATGACAGAGGTACATAGTGGAATATGTGGAGCTCATCGGGCAAGTCTGAACATGAGATGGGCTATTCATCGTTTAGGTTTCTTTTGGCCAAAGATTTACGAAGACTGCATACAATTTGCCAAGGGCTGTCAAGAATGTCAGAGACATGGGCAACTAATTCATTCGCCAGTAACAGAATTGCAAACGATGGTAAAACCATGGTCCTTTAAATCTTGGGCTATGGATATCATTGGGAAAATACATCCTCCCTCATCCAAGAATCATTGTTTTATCTTGGTTGCAATAGATTATTTCACTAAATAGGTGGAGGCGGTTGCTTTGAAAGATATAGATCAGAAGGAGGTGATTGATTTTGCGCTGAATCAAATCATATATAGATATGGTATACCTCATTCAATAACAACCGACCAAGGTCTGGTGTTTACTGAAGAGAAGTTTTTGAGCTTCTTGGCAGAGTTTGACATTCGTCTGAGTCATTCTTCACCTTATTATCCCCAAGCTAATGGACAGGCAGAAGCAGCTAACAAGATTATCATTGGGATTATCAAGAAAACGATTGACCCAAGGAAATGGCATTTGTTGTTATCTCGAGCCTATGGGCACATAGGAATAACAGAAGTTCTGCCACAGAGTTCTCACCATATCAACTCACTTTTGGACCAGATGATGTGTTACCAGCCGAAGTGCAGGTCTCATCTGGACGCACAAGCTTTACCAATGATAAATTTACTGAGGAATATCAACAAATGATGTTGCAGCAATTGGAAAGGCTGGATGTCAACCGACTTCATGCAATTGATCAGATTGTGAAGCAAAATGAGATCAGGGCCAAGACTTATAAAAGAAAATCTTTTACAGAACATTCAAGGAAGGAGATCTGGTCTGGAAGAGTATTCTTCCAACTTATAAGAAGGTTGACCAATTAGGAAAGTGGTCCCCGAATTGGGAGGGGCATTCATAATTCAAAAGGAGATTGGAAATGGTGTCTTTATTATTATAAATCAAGAAGGTAAAATGGTACACGACTGTATTAATGCTAGATATCTGAAGAGGTATTTTCCTGCCTTTTCAGATTACAAGAAAGCATGAAACAGTAAGTATTCAAAACCCATTTGCCAAGGGTTCGAACCTAACAAGGGTTCATTCATTGTCAGATGTTGAATTATGCCGAGGGCCACTTTCTCCTGAGTCAGAATCATCATTCCAATGGTTAGGGATAAGGTCTGGCTCTTCATCAATAAGGTCTTCAAAGCTAGGTCGGTACTTCTCCCATTGGTCCTGCATCTTCTCAAGATCATAGTCAGTTCGGGCTTTCATGTCAGTTATGGCTTTGGCGTTCACGATCAACAAAAGTGCGTATCTTGAAAAGACTACATATTGGTTGGAAAAGGTGTGATCCCAGCCAAGGTCTGGAAGTATGACTGTCACATGGTGTTCAATCAAATCTATGTGATGATCAATGTCGGGAAGGCGACTTTGAATATCCCGAAGGGTCTCATATCCTTCTAGCATGTTTTCCATCAGGCGAATGACACGGTGGATGGTCTTTCGGCCTCGCTGGGAAAACCTGAATTTGTAATCCAATTGTTGGAGGATGTATAGTAGGTCTTTAGCGTGACCTCCAACTGGATGATTATCCACGAAGAAGGGTTGAATGACGCCTTGCCAATTGTTTGCAGGAACATGGGGATAGTGAGGTGGCATTTTAAATGCTTGTGAACAAACGTGTTCAAGGTTGAGTAAACGTTTATCAGTTGATTTGCAGGGATTGCAAATGTTTATAAGGAGATGAATTGGTGAGTTCCCCAAATAGTTGGAGTTTTGGAAGGTGATCCTTAATAAAAGGAGAGAAATTTTATTTACCAAGTCAAAATTACAAAAGAGATCCTAATACAAGTTTTATTTGGGACCATTTGTCTTATGTTCTGGAGCGTCGCCTGTTATTAACAGCCGACTGGTACTGCTTTATGAGTTGGGATCGGGCGTGAATTTTCAATTCTTGGTCCAGGTCGGCTGCATTGCTTTGGTACCGATCAATCAGGCGTTGCTCGTCGTTGATATGTCCTTCCAGGACAGACCTTTCTTGTTGAAGCGCCCTCAGCTCTGCCTCTTTTTGCTGGATTGACCCCTCTATTTGTACCTTGGCGTTATTCAGGCCTTCTAGTCGGCCGACTGCTTGTTGAATGGATTCTTTGATTTTGGTCAAGGAAGCCTCCAGACTTATTCGTTTCAAATCAGGTGAGGGTGTCTCAGCTGTCAAAAGTTGGGCGAACAGAACTTCATTCCGGAGTTCGGATAGTCGTTCCATTAATTGATGAAGAATGGGGCAGCAGCCGACTCTGAAGACATTTGGAACAAGAGACCACCAACAGCTTGAAGAAGGCTGTCAAGCAAGTCTGACCCCAGGTCGGGAAAGATTGGTCAACAGCCTGTGCAATTACAGTTCGGACGTCCGTCGGAATGGGGATCGCCGACAAGAGGGCTAGCTCAGGACATCCCTGAAATAAAAAGATGTTTATCTCAGGCTGAATGGAGAAATAAATGTTAAGAATTAATTGTGCAAGGTTGCACGTACCTCTTGACGGATGGTGGTCGCTAAAGGTGCCAAAATAACCCTAAGTCTGGAGGGTTGTGATTTATGAACTTCTAAACAACGATTGATAAATGGCGTTTGAAAGTCCCTTGGCGGCGGGCAAGTTGTTACGTATGAAATTTAGAATTAGGTTAAAAAGCCCAAGGTAAAAAGAAGAATAGGCCTAGTAATCGAGTTAATCGAAGTGGCCGAGGGGCACCATGGGAAACTCAGGTAAAAAAGATATATTTCAAAGGAAATAGCAGGTCAGAAGGTCCTCAGGTCGGGAGGTCCTCAGGTCGGGAGGTCCTCGGGACGGAAAGTCCTCAGGACAGAAAGTCCGCAGGTCGGAAGGTCCTCAGGTCGGGAGGTCCTCAGGTTGGGAGGTCCTCAGGTCGGAAAGTCCTCAGGACGGAAAGTCCGCAGGTCGGAAGGTCCTCAAGTCGAGAGGTCCTCAGGTCGGGAGGTCCTCAGGTCGGAAAGTCCTCAGGTTGGGAGGTCCTCAGGATCGGAAGGTCCTCAGGTCGGGAGGTCCTCAGGTCGGAAAGTCCTCAAGTCGGATGGTCTTTTAGTCGGGACGTTTGCGGCTGGACCAACAAGTCGGATGGTCTCTTAGGCGGGACGTTTGCGGCTAGACCAACAAGTCGGATAGTTTTTAAGTCGGGACGTTTGCGGCTGGACCAACAGGTCGGATGGTTTTTAAGTCGGGACGTTTGCGGCTGGACCAAACAGGTCGGATGGTCTTTAAGTCGGGACGTTTGCGGCTGGACCGAACAAGTCAGGTGGTCTGCAAGTCGGGAGGTTAGTAGTCGGACCAACAAGATGGAAGAGTTGCGTTCGGGCCAAAAGAGCGGAGGGTCTGCGGTCGGTCCAAAGAGGCGGATACCGTTGAGAGTAAATGAGAATGATCCTGTGGTCGGTTGAGGGCACGTGTCAGCAGGAGAAGGGTTAGCAGACGGTTGAAAAAGAGACGTTGCAACCGTTCGGGCGACGGTTTTCAGTACTGTTTCTCAAGGGATATTTAAGGATTTAGATTTTTCTTCTTCGGGTATCTTCAATCAACTTCAACAAAGTAAAGTCAGATTTGGGGATCACCACTTTAAATTTCCAGCATTTTATTTTCCAATTAATTTTCTTATGTACCGTACAGTGTTTAGAGATTCCTAATCTCATGCACTAATTAATCAAATTTAAGGATATTTTCATATCTTTCAATTTTACTTTTTGTTTGTTGAAAAAATATATCAACAACATCGAAATGTAGTACAAATCAAGAAAAAATTACAAAAATATTTGTATTAGTGTCTTGTAATACTAATAGAAGGATATTTGTATAAAAAATTACACAAATATAATAATATTTTTAATGTTAAGTACAATGACCATAAATGTGACCGTGAGAGGCTAACGGAGGAGGGAGTATAATATAAAGTTAACTCAATGTTCTAACTATTTTCTCAGATACATATAAGTGAAGTAGAAGGTGTCCACTGGTCTAATGTCAACGCTTGAACAACTACGTACATCTAAATAGAGATGGAGAAGGTGCTATTTGTTGTGACCTTTTCATCGGCTGTCTCGTCAGAGAGGGAGCCTGGTGGGGCAGGTTGCCATTAAAGCAGTCACTAATTCACTCTATTTCAAAGAGATCATCATAAAAGACAACCCACTATGGTCACACACCTATTCTATGGTAATAACACATTGCAGGGACCTGAAAGAGGGTCGTAAGTATCACGCGTTTGGCATAGTATGAGTTCATGAATTGCAGAACGACACATCGCTATTGAAACTTTGAGAGCGACAATGGCAGTTAGTTTGACAGTATAGATGGATTGTGGCCATCCATTCTCCCCCGTACGGACACTGATCATATCATTTCCACCCGTTTGCAAGGAAATATCATTCAAGCTTTTTTACTCATAAAAAGTGTAAGTTGCAATGGTAATTTTAAAGCCACAATAGAATTTCAAGGAAGGTAATATTTATAATTACTTAGATAAAAGGAACTCGAGAAAACTGCTAAATTTCCAATATCATCAATGATGAACTACTGCGCGTCACTAAATCGCGTGTTAACAGCAAAGTTCACTATATATAGGTCACCATTTTTATTCGATCATTGCAACTAAGATAAAACAACGAAAAATATAGATTAGCAGCGAGAATACCTATAACGTGCATTAGCTTCTTCAGCTAAAAAGATAATAACAAAAATGCAATTCATACTTACCCTGAGTCTCCGCATCTGCTCCTTGGCTTCGGAGCGCTTTTCTAGGTCAGCAGCATAGCGGAAGCGCCGTCGACGATTCTTCACTATTTTCCCAACCGCATCGCGCCACCGCTTCAGCGCCTCCTCCGACCGCTCTTTATGGTGCAAATCGAACTCCGGCGGAATAAAATTCTCCATTTCCGAGCAGATTAATAAAATTATTTATCGCTGCTCTGGAAGCTTGGTCTTCCTCATTATATAGAAGCGTGTGCATCATCCAAGTTGCAGAAGCTAAGACGACTGACACAGAGAGAAACAGCAGAGAGCAGGAAACCGGAGCGAATTTGCAAGGGAAAATGTGGAGTCGACTTCACCATAATATCGTACGCGCTTTGGTCCTTTTACGCGCCCTACTTTCGTGCTCTTCCTTTCTTTCATGTTATTATTATTAAAATTATTATTATTAATTATTTTTATTATTCTGACGTATAATTTTCCACTTGGCCTGTATTTGACTTTTTGTTTTATTTTATTTTTATATTTATTTTTAATTTGGATAAATTATATAAAACTGTATAAAAATATTTTATATTTAATTTATTGCTTGAATTAATGTAAAATTTACACTAAAATACTATTTTTATCCAAAATTGATATTTGATTATAAATACGAAAACAATAAGTCTTTTTCTTATCCAATTTCAGCTTTGACTAGAAATTATTTTGTGCAAACTTTAAATTAACAAGATGTTTCATGCAATAAATAGAATACATGAATATTTTGTGTATTTTTTAAAACACAAAAACAATGTTATATAATTTATTCTTTTAAATTTTTTAATTGTGCTGTATTGCATTAATTATTTTTTAAATATATTCTAAATAATTTCGATCAAAATCGTGACAAATTACACAAAAAGATAAATTATTCTTAACGAACTATACGTGACTTACCACTAGATCACCTCTTATAGGATCACTAGATAAGGGTGGACGATTTATTACTTTTTCTTTTCCAGTGTTTTGAGAATAGTCAAATTGCTTGAATTTGTTTTTGTATATATTTAGTCAATAGAAAATATATGAATATTCTTTAATCCCGTGCGTGCGTGCATGCATGCGTACCGCTAAGTTTGATGGATTCGTTCGTTCGGCCTATGCGTATGCACGTTATGTGATGTCATGTCGTGTCATCTGATGTGACGTGCCTATGTTGTGATATGGGCAATGAAGGAATTGAGTTGGAGTCTTTAATATATTCTATATTAGAAAAATGTGGGATTTTTCTTTTATTTTTAAGGGTGAAGAACATTCCACCTATCATCGATTAATTTTAGATTGGAAGTATGAATGGATGCGCCGCATTTTGCATAAAGAGGATAAGGTTCTCAAAAAATTTCGCTTCGCCTTCCATTGACGCCATTAATTGCGTCACGGCACTCTCAAGTCTCAATAGTTGAAGCTTTCACCACTTCCTCGTCACCACTCCACGACCTCACAAGCAGCCTATTTTCAGCACTCGGGTTACCATTTGCCGGCTGGTTGTGATGCATAGGCCAAGCAATCCCATCGTAATGGTTTCTATGCACGAATTCCACCTGTAATGGCTCACATACTCACCCGTCGACGGATGCACCAAGATCTCCGGCTGCAACGTATTGGGGTGTAAACCCAAATTCCATATAAACTCCACTAGTAAGAAGCCTTTAAGAGAAAACAAATTTGTGCAGTCGGTCCAAAGCTGGCAATATCATAGTAATGTTAAGTTGGCTTCTCCCAGTCACGCACTTGTAATCACTTGACTCCATCTTCAGAATTTTCCTCGCTCAGACCTCTTTTCATCCAAAGAATCTTCCTTTTGCCTTTGAAGCGAAAACCTTCAAAACCAAGGAATTTCAAAGAATTTTTATTCTTTTAGGGAAAGATTTAGAGAATGAGGGTTTTCTGTCCTACGCAAAGAATATCAGAATGGTGTCAAGAATTTTCAGAACTTTCCGTAACGTCATCATAAAAAGGAGCTGTAAGCAATCATTTTGATTTCTAAGCGCCTAGGTGGATTCTTTGAAAGTTCCCGAGCCACGAAAGATGTTGAAAAAGGAGTTCAATAGTAAATATCGCATCGGCACCGCCAAACCTTTTTTCTAAAAAAAAAAAATTCGACTGCAACAAGAAAACGCAGGCGAGTTTTCTTTTCATTGTTTTAGCTTAGTTAATAATTATATTGAATTTTTCCTGATTGCTTTCATTTCTGCATGGAAACATGTGCTTAGTTAGAGCATCTGTTATAATCATTATCTTTACTTCATTATCTCATTTTATTTTTCTTGTCTATATCGTATTTATATCAACATTCAAATTATTTCATTTATTAAATCACCTATAACACATTACATTTACTATTTTATAAATCAACAATAATTTATTAACTTCTATATATTTTTATTTTGTAATAATATATATAAATAATTTATTTAATTATACATATTTCTATATATTTTTATTATCTAATAATATTTCATATAATATTATATTTTAACTTTTAAACATTGATCTATATAAATTTTAATAATTGAAAATATTCGAAATAAATCAACATATATATTAATTAAAAATAACATAAGAAAGAACCGTAATGTAATATAAATGTAAAAAATAAATATATCAACAATATAACTTAAAAATTATTATTTTTATTATCAAATTGTGTCTAATAATTTAATTTAAAAAACTTATTGAAAGGATCAATATTTTTACTAGGCATTTCGTTTAATTGAATATGAAAAAATAGAGAATTAATTAATGAAATTTAAATATATTAATATATAATTTATGTTAAATTTAAACTTTAAAATTTTGAAATTTCAAAAAAATTTTGGATAGTTTTTAATTATTTTTTATTTTTTATTTTGTCGTAGGTAATAGATTCTTGATAAATGTAATAAATTTTTTTATAATTGTATTTTTTTTATTAATGGTAATGAATTTTGTTACGGTAAAAATTGAAAATGCAATTACAAAAGTAATAAAAGAGATGAGTGTAACAACAGATGCTCTTAGTTGATTAATTATGTTTCAAATTGTTGAAGTTTAATCCTAGCTAGCTAGCTTCGATTTATTTATTAGTTCCGAATTAGATAGTTAGCTTAATCTGCTGCTGTATCTAGATTAGCTCAAGTTTAGGTGCAATGGATCCAAATTTTGTACTTGTAAGTGTTGTTCCAATAATACTCCCTCCGTCCCAAATACCATGTTCATGTTGTCGTTTCTGTCCGTTTCGCATACCATGTCACTTTTTTTTTTTGAAAAATGATTACACACTTTAATCTCATTTTAAATTTTAATTTTTTTTTTAAATTTTAATTAAACTAATTAGTTGTCTTAATCTTAATTTATAATTATTTATATTATAAGATAATTATTTTCACTAATACATTCTTAATTATCTACTAATTACACCCCTCCTAAAATACCGTGTCTACAGTGTAGCAGACACTATATCTGGGACGGAGGGAGTATCACTTAATACCGGCTAGTTTGGACCAAGTTTGATCTATTTGTTATCTTATGTTGTTAATTGATTATCTATGCGAGTCATTTTATAAATTATATATATATATATGCTATAATTTATATGTGACTAAAATAGTCATATTTAATTTTAAATAATGTTATAATGCCATATAATTTATATTTGTGTCATCTAAATTTATTTAGTGTTATTCAAATTGATTTATTGTTGTAAACAAATGCAATACGCAGCATTTTGTTGCCAAACATTTAGAATAGGTGTGAATATTTGTGATTGGCTGAAAAAACTCATATATATATATATATATTAGAACAAGCTCTTGCGCGGTATATCGCGCGACTATTCTATAATGTAATGTAGTGAAACATTATTTATTTAAAATATAAACTGTAAAACAAAAATGCAATCGAATTATTTGCGCTCAGGTCGGTTGGTCCTCAGTCGGTTGGTCTGGTCGGTTGGTCAGGTGGGTTGGTTAGCTGTCAGATAGGCAGGTCGGAAGATCCTCGGTCGGTTGGTCTGGTCGGTTGGTTAGCGGTGGGATAGACAGGTCGGAAGGTCCTCGGTCGGTTGATCTGGTCGGATGGTTAGCGGTCGGACAGACAGGTCTGATGGTCAGCAGGTCGGAGAGACATGTCTGATGGTCTGCGGTCGGATAAAATAGGTCGGCTGGTCTGCGGTCGGATAGGCAAGTCAGCTGGTCCGCAGGCGGATAGACTAAGATAAGAAGGGTGACCCTACATCTCTTTATGAGTTTTGAAATGTAAAAAATAGCAAGGATATTTCAACTTTGATAATTGTTACGCACAAAAAATAATAATAATAATAAAAATAAGGATAGCAGGATCTTAAAGGAAGTTAGACACGAAGTCGGGTGGAAAAGGAGAAAAATTTGCGCTCAGGTCGGTTGGTCAGATCGGTTGGTCGGATGGTCAGGTAGGTTGGTTAGCGGTCGGATAGGCAGGTTGGAAGGTCCTCGGTCGGTTGGTCTGGTCGGTTGGTCCTCGGTCGGATGATCAGGTTGGTTGGTTAGCGGTCAGATAGGCAAGTCAGAAGGTCCTCGGTCGGTTGATCTGGTCGGTTGGTCCTCGGTCGGATGGTTAGCGTTCGGACAGACAGGTCTGATGGTCAAAAGGTCGGACAGACATTTCTGATGGTCTGCGGTCGGATAAAGTAGGTCGGCTAGTCTGCGGTCGCATAGGCAAGTCAGCTGGTCCGCATGCGGATAGACAGGTCGCTTGGTGGGTGCGGCCAAGGAGTCTTTTGGTCTACCGATTGATCTCTGGATTGGTCGGTTGGGCTATTTGAGTTCTGGAACAGGTGGAGGCGTTTGGCGAGGTGGTTGATGTAACCGACCAGACGACGTTCCAAAACGTTTCGTCTTGGGCGGTTGACGGCGGTTGCTGACGACGGTTCCAAAACGTCTTTTCAAGCCAATACAAAGGTAGGTTAAGAGCTAAATTGTCATTTTCGAAATGAGGGGCAAGTTAGACTTTTCAAGTGGCAGATCCGTACAAACTCGTATTTATAAGATATAATATATATACCACGATGTACTTGCATAATATCAATTCTCCACATTTACAAATCTTTCTCGTTCCTTCTCTCTGCATTAATTACACTAGTATATATCATATCTAATATATATGTATACATAGTGCCTTATATGTATAAAATATATATAATAATATATACTTACACAGCATACATACATATACATATAGTATATATTATGTATACTTACCAATATTATATTATATTATTATTATTACATAACACGTTATTATGAGCACGAAGGTCCTTGCCTATTTTATTTTTGGTAATTTTTATTTTTATATTATTTATTTTCTAAATTAT